CATAATTACTTCTTTCTCCCATATGCATACATTCATGGCTGTCCTCAGGTTCCATGGTGTAATGGTTAGCACTCTGGACTTTGAATCCAGCGATCCGAGTTCAAATCTCGGTGGAACCTCGTGATTTTGAAATGTTGCGCTTAAAACCCCACAGCTGCACAGAACCATGTGACATTCGGCTGTAGTAAGTGTGTTTAGTCAGTGTAGTAGCACAAAATGGTTCTGAAAGTTCAGCTGTAAACACCTGTGAAATCAAAACCTCCATAAAGTGCTGAACTAAAGAAGTTAAAGGCTCATCACGTGTCCTCAGTAAGTTAAGAGAAGTTCTAATAGGATAGAAAAAGCATGGCCTGAAGAATTAATCCAGATACAATATATTTAAAAAAATAATACAAAATTTCATCAACAAGTAAATGTATTTATATCTAAATGGTTTTTTTTTAAAAATCTACTTCTAAGTTCCCATATGCATTTATTTATAATTATTTATTTATATTATTTATATTTCTCATATATCCACCGTGTTCTTACCCTCAACAGTGCAATATATTTATTCTACCCTTTGGCTATTACCATGCTCATTCCTAACTGTATATACTTCCTACTGGCTCCTTTTGTACATATATTTATATATTCTTATTTGTCTTTTTATACGTGTATTTTGCACCACTGGGGTTGTATGTTAATATCGTTGTACTTTGTATATGATGACAATAAAAAGCATTCTATTCTATTCTATTCTATTCTATTCTATTCTATTCTATTCTATTCTATTCACTGTTCCAAGTCACAACAGGTCAATAGGAGTTTGCAGGAAGCGTTTATAATCAGTGCGTTTTATAACTGATTCAAAGAGAATAAGCCATATTCACAGAAAAGTACAATATGAAAAACAACTGTCCCATCTGTATATTGCAGTTTTGCATTTAAAGAGTAGTTTTGTGTATAATAGTGTAAATTAGACCAATAGTCACGCATATAAATGGCAAAGGGCAACAAGAAATCTGCATTACAACTGAAACTCCAGCCTGATTGTTTTGGTTTAAGGAACTTGCGGAGGTCAAGCTGACCTCCAGCTGGCCTCACAGTTAATTATTGTTGTGATTTATGGTATAGTAAATAAAGCTGTGAACTCTGAACCTAATAATTCAAGTTCAAATCTCAGTAAAGCCTAAAATGAACTTGAAACCAACATGAACTCTCCACTGGTTCTCACCTACAACTGATCAACACACAGGGGAAAGAATAAAGGAGACATTAAAAACAGATATAATAGGCCTCAGTTTAATTGAAATAGCATCTTTCAAATCAGTGTGAAAAGTGCTTCTAAAATCAAGTTAAAACACCTTATTAGGTGTCACAATAAAATTGAAAAAAACTTCCATCAATTAAAGGTGCAAAGAAACATGTAAACTTGTCTGGATGTTGCAGCCAGTATGTGACGTTCAGACTAAATTATTACAGCGTAATTCACTTTTATTATACAGAATATTCTACAGTTAAGGTGAATTTGTTAGTTTGCTCCCTTTCAGGTACTGATGGTCTTACTTCCTTATTCAGTAGCTGGAGTGGCCATTGAAGGGCATTTGGGACGTCCAGAAGCAGGCAAAAGCTTTTCCCAATATTCACGACGAGCCCTAAAACAAATTTAAGGAGCTTTTTAGTTATAAACCAAAAACTGTGTTGTACAGAAACACATACTTTGACGATTTAGCAGTTGACTTTGTGTCCTTTGTTATTACACCTGCCACAATGCCACGATATGTAGAATGTACGTAACTGCTTTCAGTCTTTTGGGAAAACGGTTAATGCAGATGCTGGAGTCTAATTTGAAAACACATTAACATAAGTAGTAGTTGTGTTTCTTTCAGTCGTACCTGGCTCTGACCCAGGGTTTAGTGTGCATCTCCAGGGCAGCGCCCCAAAGTCCGTGTTTCTCTGAAGCTGGTGGGAGGAATCCTCTCTCTGCAGAAAGCTCCTCTGCTATAGCTCTGATATGGTACGGCTCAAACCCACAGCAGCCACCGATGTAGCGAATTCCTGCATTGTAAGCTTCTCTGGCATATTTATGGATGTCCCAGCGAGTCATTGCTCGAGTCTCCAGTGCTGAGAGGAGAGTGAAATATTTAAGACTTGGTTATATTAAAGCTCATATCACACTGCACATATGGGGAGCTTTGAAAGGTACCAATATATGTGTTCCACACTCCACATTTCTTAGATATACCCAATAAAGTTTGCAAATAACACAAAAAAGAAAATGCTGACCGAAGGGGAACTCAGGCAGGCTGAGGTAGCCATCAATGTTGCGCTCTGGTGTGTGAAAGCCCAGCGGCTGGATCATGAGATGGGCTTTGAGACCTGCTTTCTCTAATCCCTCTTTCATCAGCTTCACCGTCTCAACACAAGTCAGTGGGTCCAGGTGGCAGTTTATTCCGACAATGTCCGCCCCTGCACATAAATACAACAACATACACGGATTATACAGGATAAAACTTAAATTCACTAACTGAAAGAATCACATCACTGAAAGGTGAATGTACCAGCTTTGACCAGCCTGACAGCACACTCTCCAGGTGGGACTCCATGCATGTCTCCTTGCGGGGCGATGCAGAGTGTTGCGGCCACTGTTTTACCGCTGGTTTTCAGCACTTCCACTGCCCACACTGCCTCCTCAACATGCTCGCAATACTGCAGGAAGAATGTGCACTGAATCATCAAAACTGTTTCTTTAGGCAAAGCACAGTTGAAATGGCCTCAGTCTATGTTGAGTTATTGCACTTGAGGTGCTGCACTTACCTCCACAATCAAGAAATCAATGTCCTGTTTGAGGAAGTCATCCATTTGCTTCTTAAAGATGGCTTTGACCTCAGTCTCACTGTGACTCTGCACATAACAGGGGGTCTGAGAAACACCACCAGCGACCAGTGCACCCCCCTCATCAGCGACCTCTCTGGCCATTTTACAGGCTGCATCATTGATCTGGGCTCCCTGGATCAGATGGAAAGAGACTGGTGATACCTGTGGATTTTCATAGTTTAGTGTAGACATGTAAAATATGTCAATTTTGTTTTTCACTGACTGTGATGTTGGTGACATTGCCATTGAGCTCCAGTTTATCCTCACTGCAGTAGAAGGTGAAAGTCTGAATCACGGTGGCTCCTGCTCTCAGATACTCCCTGTGCAGCTGTCGCACTTATGAAGAAATGGAGACAGAAGGTCTGGTTTATCAATAAAACATAGGCAAAAAGAAAAAAAGGATTCAATCTCTGCTTTTTTTCAATAAATTACCTGCTTCAGGATGTTCAACCGCAGCTTCTGGTGTCCAGGGTCCCGCTGTCACGTAGCCACGTCGCTCCAGTTGCATCACGTAACCTCCATCTCCTACAACCACCTCCCCAGCATCCAGGCGCTCCAAGATACCCTGAATACACACACACACACACACACACA